CAGCAGGGGTGGGACAAGCAGGTACAGATTGGACAGAAGAATGTGTACATAAGGAGCAACGTTGAAGCCAAACCTGTGTATGAAGGACGTAAAAAACGTGAGAATGTAGAACTGCAGAAAGACAAAGATGTGGGCTGTGCACGTGTTGAATGCTTTGAATCGTGCCTCCTTCTGTGGCAACTTAAAGACAGCCCGGAAAATAAAGGCGTAGGACAGGAAAATGAAGATCACATCAAATCCAAGGACTGAGAAAGCTACAAACAGTCCATATGCTTTATTGGCCCTGACATTTTCTGCTGCCAGCTTCACCACAGCCATATGCTCACAGTAGGAATGAGAGATGACTGTGGTCCGGAAATGCTTCAGGCGCAGCTTTATTAAAAGTGGACACATGATGATGATGACACAGGCGCGAATGGTCACCACCATGATAATGCTGAGTAGCACCTTCTTAGTGAGGATGGCAGAATGCCTCAAGGGCTCACAGATGGCCACGTATCGGTCAAAGGCCATGGCTAGGAGAATGCCAGACTCCATGCACTGGAAAGTGTGAGTAAAATACATCTGGGTTAGACAGGAATCAAAATGAATCTCCTTTGATTGCAGCCAAAAGATCGCCAACATTTTAGGGGTAATGCACAAGGTCAGGCCTAGGTCAGTAGCTGCCAACACAGCTAAAAAGATATACATGGGCTCATGAAGAGCACGCTCACTGCGGATAATGGTGATGAGGAGGCCGTTTCCAACAATAGCCAGGAAAAAAGAGATGAAGAAGGGGATCCCAATCCAATGTTGCTTTGATTCCAGGCCTGGAATCCCGATTAGTGTGAAGACAGATGGCTTGAAGAAGGTGCCATTGGTAACCGACATGATGAAAAAGAGGGCAAATCTCTCTAATCTTCAAGCCTAATGAGAAATAATAAGATGTATTAATAGCATCCTTAGTTAAGGATGATCCTGAGAAAATATTAGAGAAGATGAAATGATACATTGAATTCTTCTACTGCTAAACTGGACTTCGATCTGTTTTTATATTGAGGAAAATTATGTTTTCTTTTCTTAGGTATTTTTGTAAGTTAATCTGCCATTTTTTAACTAAATTCTTTTTTTTTTTTTTTTTTTTTGAGAGAGAGGTTTTTTTACTAAATTTTTTTTTTTTTTTTTTTTTTTTTGAGAGAGAGGTTTTTGCTTCAGGGCATGTGCGCTCACCAGAGAGAGGAAGAGATACAGACTGTGAGATGGAAACTGAGAAATTTCCCCCCAAAGGGGATGGTCATACTGCAATCGTTTCTCCTCTATTCCCCTTCTAGGATCATGAGCACATGTGCACATGTGCCCTGCATGAGTTTTGAGCTGCTGGGCCTGATACTCAAACCATGGTTGGTCACATAAGAGTCCAGGGATGTACCTGCCACATCATCTGATGGCCTCCAATAGAATTATTTTTAAAGTGTAATTCTATAAATATTTCATTAAAAGTAGCCTATAGTGGGGCCATCAGGTGGTATAGTGGTTAAGGTGTCAAACTCCTATATGGTTGACAGCAGTTCAAGTCCTGGACCTGGAGGCTTGAAACTCACCTGGCTAGTGTGCATGTGTGTTCAAAATCCCAAAAGGAGGATGAAAGAGAATGGACTGTGAAGTGGCCCTCCTCCCTGGGGTGGGAGTATGTGATTTCTCACCTTCTCTCCTTCTGTCTTTCACCCTATAGCAAAAATTCTCTCAAAAAAAATTGGCCTGTAAGTTTGAAAAACAATTTTGTATGCATCAGATTGTCAGAAAAGTCATGACATATTTTTCTGTGTTTTTCTGTTCAGAAATGTGTCATGACTTTTCTGAGGACCTATTACATGACTTTCATAGTTTGGAGATTAAAAAAATTATTAATAAAATTAATAATAATTGATTAAATTTTTATTCTTCTATGTTTACAGAAAAAGAACTTTCTGAAACTACAATTAAAAGTAAATCAAGTGACAAGTTGAATAATGTTATCTTTATTTTTAAGCTAAAATCACTGACTCTAAGAAATGTCAAGCATAGTTTAAAGATGGTAAATAGCAGATATAAATAATATTAAAGACTCAATTTTCTTATTTTATAAATTCTTATTTCTATTAATCATTGTACCTAGCATAGAATATGGTTTTTCAAAACATGCATACAAAGTGACAGCATTCAAATATATTATCTCTCTATGTATATATATCATTTTCAACACAGAACTTTACATTCTTGTGTCTAATAAATGTTTTCTTTATTTCCCTGAGTCCTTTTCATCTATTTTTTACTATCCCCACTTAATATGTACCAAATCTCTGCATTCTATGCCAATTATCATTAGGGTGATCATAACTGTCTCATAGCTTCTTCCAGATTTAATTAACTCATAGTATCAGGAACTCAATTATCTTTCTGCATATTTAAAACTGAAACTTATTTCCTAAACTCCTAGAAAAATATCAAGCAGGAAATGGCTCTACAATAATGTTAAATTCTTCTCCTTACTGCCCCTACATACATACTTAAAACTGATAGCCAAGTGACTTGGTTTCGTTGTTATTAGGGGGCCATAGGTACATTATTTAGTTATTCCCATCTCCACTATGTGATCCACAATGTGAAGATAACAAAAGAAAATGGCCCACTTAGTAACAGTTTCACTTTGTCTGTCATCCTTGTCTTCCACCACGCATTAGTGCTCCAGTCACAGTGAAAGGCAAACATTGTCTTCTCCTCATTCCCTAGTGCCAGCACAACTGAGCTTAGGCAGTCTGGGAGGAATCACAGATTCACAAAATACTTTTTCTCTGTTTTAAACATTTTCTTCATTTTGAGTGCCTTTAGGAGGAGAGTGAAACAAGGAGAGGACCTATCTGCCTCTTCTTCACCTAACTCATCTAGGGCTCTAGAAAGATTAGAGGTAGGCTATCCTTGGGCTCGTGGATAAGAAAAGAACAAGTAGATGTCAGACGTGGACCATCTCTGATCTAGGTGAAAGCTGAAAACACCTGAGGGTTTTCTCTACTGTCTACTAAGGTCATGATAAAAATGTTCAGAAATAAATATTTTGAGTTAATTTGGAGTCTTTCCTGTGCTATATCTCTCCAAGGCTATAAGGAAGGGTAGAGTATGGTTCACTCATGTTGGTTTGAATAATTATGCTATTTGATAAACACAATGACTAACAAAGTGTTTTAGTATGATGGCTTTTATTTACAAATGCTAAATATAGTATATGTGGAAGGAGACTACGAATTGTTTAAAAATACTTAAAAACAATTGCATTTATGAAGCAGAGAGTAAGTGATGGTTATCAGATCCTGGAGGGTGGAGGAATGGGGAGATATAGATGATATATATATAAATCAATATAGATGATATTCACAGAATGCAAAGACTCAGATAGGAAGAATATGTTTGTTATTTTAAATATTAACAGTATAACATGGTGAATAGAGCTAATGTTTGATTGCTGTACAGTTTCAAATTGCTAAGAGTAAATATCTAGTGCTCTCATTGCACATATTCTTAACTACTTGAGCCAACAGAAATGTACTTAGCCTTTTTAATATTTTCACATTGTATTAAAAAATCATTTATGCCCCATAAGCATACACAACTATAATTTGTCAAAGTATACTACAAATAATATTTTCTAACATGGTTTGGTTATATACTATGTATCTGATAATTTCCCATCTTACAGTTGGTGTAAGAGAACATAGAAGGATCAAATAACTTAGACAATATCTCAAAGGTAGCAAGCAGTATGGTACATTCAGAGTAAGTTTATTTTTAATCATTGTTGCTTCTGGATATATTAATGAAAAAGAAAGCTAATTACACAAAAAAAGCTGTTAAGAATTACATTTAAATTTTATTAAATTACTTACATATTAATGAGAACACTCTAGGTTAAAGGTTTTTTTTTTTTAAATTGATATAACAGATTTTTAAAAATACTTTAAGACATACACATCAAGCATGTTTTTTTTTTTTTTTCTATTGGGAAACCTACAGAAATGTTGAGGGCATTTGCAATTAAACTGTCATCATGGAAATACCTATGAAATATATTTCTCCAACATGCGATTATGTGTTAGATATTAAATAAAAATAAAAGAATTTAACATTATCACAGAGACATTTCATATCTGGTATTTTCCTAGTAGGATAGGGAATAAGATTTAATTTTAAATAATCTCAGAAAGATACATTTGGGTTTCTGATATCATGAGTTAATCAAATCTGGAAGAAGCTGTGAAACAGTTGTAAATAAAAAAAAAAGGCTAACTTTCTAAGAACTCATTTAAAATCACTTAATAATAATAGTGGTTGCAGTATTAAAACAAACACAGTGGTATGAGCCGAAGGAAAACAGTGTAGGTTGCACTTAATTCATAGGGCAATTGACATTCTCTGTAATGATATATTGTGAAGTGAATCTGGGAGTCATTGAAGATTTTCCATTAAAAAAAAGTTCAATGTATTACACATTAATTCTCTCCAAACACTTCACAAATGTATTTTTTTTAATATCTGAGACACTATTTAAGTGCCTAGGGCTATAACTATGAAGAGAACAATGAAAGTCTAAAATGCCTCCCATCCCATATTATCATTACATAGCAGATATCAACAGAAAAGAATAATCCAACTATCTCACAATGGTATTCAGAAATGTCAACACTTGCCTAGTAGATTCAAGTCAGAATGAAATTATAATTCTATAAGGTTATATTTAAAATATTAACAATAACAACAGTTAGCTCCGCTAAGTCTAAGCACTATAATATTAAGAGCCTTACATGAATAGACATATATTAGCTCATGTTAGTAAGAAACTCCTATAAAGGAAATATTATGACCATAAAATATCTTCCCTACAAAATAAAATAGTTTGGTCATGACTCTAGTAATTAAAAAGAATCTCTGACACCAGTATTTAGGCAGTTAAGAGTTCTTATATAATTTCTTGTCACTACTATCTTACATTCCAGAGACCAGTTCTTCAAAGCCCATCTTGGCGGTGTCAGGTGCAGAGAGACAAAATCCAGGGCAGGTATCCACAACTGAATCAGCACAGTTTATTTATTCTCTCTATCTCCATCATCTTCATTGTTTATGCATTATATGCTCTTTATTATGCATTGTTATTTATATATTTAATCACTCTCACAGTAATCATTGTTCTCTCTTATCTTCTCATAGTAAGAGACTAACCACCATCTGGTCACAGCAAACTAAATATCTAAAAGTCTTTTCTAATTAGTGCTAAAATACTCACACAAATCTGGATTTCTGGAAAAAAAGTTTGAAGTCCTTGTGTTGGGCCACACTGAGAAGTGTCTCAGGACAGCAAGGATTATGACTGCACTGGAGCTTATAACATTTAAGATATTCCCCTCAGGAGTCTAAAGGTACTCTAGAGACAGACTATTTCTCTCTTTCCAAGTTTTCTATCTCATCTGAGACCTTAATTTTCTTTGTGTTTACTGAGCCTCTGTTCAAAAACAAACAAAACCCGGCTAATCCAAAGCTGGGTGCTTAAGGTAGTTGAATCCCACGTGGCCAACTGTGTGTTTCTAGTTCCAGATCTGGCAGTTTGAGAAACCTGCTGGGTGCATATGCTTGCATGACCAAAATCCTGAAAAGAGAAATGGAGGAAAAGGATTGCCACATGACCATTCCTCATGCGGTAGGCTTTCTCTACCTCCCTCTGTCTCTGTCTAGCAAGCACATTTGCCCTTTGGAAAAAAAATGAAACGAAAAATGAAAACCAAAAAATACTTATGGAATAGGAAAATGGACAAAGAAAAACCAGCTAAAGAAGATAAAACAAATGATGATATAAAGCTGTCCTCTCA